GATTAGAGTCGTATTCTATGGTTACGATTCTACCATATATGTCTTTTGTATTTCGTCAAAAATCTATTTTACGGTGTAGACGCTTATGACCTCCTCCTCTATGCGTTACGGTAATGATTCCTCTGACATTACGACCTTTACCACAATGATGCTGCCCATAGATCAAATTATTTTGTGGATAAGATTTCACTTGACTGTCTATGGCTCCATTGCGTTTGCTCGGGGTACAAGTTTTGTATAAATTTATCGCCATACTTATCTCTCCCTTTTTTTTTGACTCTGCACCAGTGATTTCACTATTATTAGTGAACAATAATGGAAAAGTTTCTTTATCTTCATAGAAATAGGGGACATAATTCACATGGATATAGTAAATCTTGCATGGGCTGGTTTAATGGTAGTTTTTACATTTTCCCTCTCTCTCGTAGTGTGGGGAAGAAGTGGACTCTAGAAGTACTCCTAATTGCGATAATAATCAAACTCTATCAACATGTATCAATTGTTTTAGTTTTCTAGACCGGCCGGCAATTTTTTTTAAGATTTTTTTTTAGAAATTGGATTTATGTTTTGTTTTATTGACTCATTTGATTTTTTTTATATCAGGGTTTATACCGTTAACCATTCATGGGATAACCCCCTTTCGAAATCTCAAGAGGTTTCCATCGAATTCAGATTATCCGTATTAAACGGATCAAACAAACACATGAAATTGAGAAAGTTTGTACATACATTTCATATTCTATATTAATTAATATTTACATTCATAAAGAAAAAGAGAGATATGGGTGAATTCCTTTATATTAAGATATTTCACTTGTATCTTTATACATTACAATAACCATAATGGCTAGTATGGTAGAAAGAGATCTCTTTCTACCATACTAGTGGGCCCCTTAGGATACTACTGAATCTAATGCATTCCTTTCATTTAAAACGAGAAATTTACATCATTTTTTTCATTAATAGTCAAATTGTATTCAAATTAATTATTTTGACTAACCGTTTTTACGTAAATTATAAGCAAAAAAAGCAGTAGGAACGAGAATGAAGAGTGCAGTAGCAATAAATGCAAGAATATTGACTTCCATAATTTAATCGTTTATTATTTTATTTTTTTTTCTTTGGAATATCTCGGGATTTTATCCCATAGAGATGAGAAATCTTTCGCTTGTAAACTCACTCAGATGAATTAGATTTCGATGATATTGAATGAAAGAAATATCATGAATAACAATATCGGAGTATAAAATCGATTCATCGTCAAGAATTTAATAGTATAACATAGGAATATCTTTTATCCACACCGAATACATAATGAGATTCCTGATCCAATAAAAAACTATTTATTTATGATTCTTTTTCACCACTTTCGTTTCTACAACCTAGTACTTTACTTTCCTTGTACAATCATCTGATGAAATATCATAAAAAACGTTTTCTACTTCGATTGTTTATAAAAAGAGTTTCTAAAGAACCTTAATAAACAATAGAAATCAAATAGAGAAAACAAGTATGAAATTTCAAATTGCAATTTTCAAAATTTTGTAAGGGTCTATGATCTTTTTGGAAAACAAAGTAAATGTGATAAAGGCGAGTCCCAATAAAAAAACTAAAAGATTCCAAAAAATTAACTATTTAAATTTTCTTACAAGTTTTTCTTCAACATCGACTCCAATCTTTCAAAAGAGCATATTCATTAGGGAAGACTAATTTGATCTTTATTTTTGAAATATCCTCTTTACTTGGTTGGATTCGAACTATTTTCACTTCCTTGACTTCATAGAAACAAAAGTATATATAGGTACTCTTGGCAAACTTATTATACGCTATCCTATTTCATTTTCCTACACGAGTTAATGGGAGATTAATTGACAAAAAGAAGGAACCGCGTACAATATCTCGTTCTTGAAGTGGTGAATGCTCTCAATAATTATAATTATAATAATTTACATATGTCTTTAAATTGGTGCTATAGAAATACCCCTTTCTTTTGCTTGATGAAAAAAAAAAAAAAGATAACCGAAACCATTTTGATCCCCTTGCCCAGAAACAAAAAGGGGAGTTTATGTCTTTTTTTATTGAATCCGCCGGGACTGACGGGGCTCGAACCCGCAGCTTCCGCCTTGACAGGGCGGTGCTCTGACCAATTGAACTACAATCCCATGTAAATCAAGCGGGTAGCTTGCATATTCCTTCTTATGGTTTTATTTTAATCATTTCAATTTTAGATTCAAATTAGTGTTTTGTAACAAAGAAAGTCACAAGTANAACTACAATCCCATGTAAATCAAGCGGGTAGCTTGCATATTCCTTCTTATGGTTTTATTTTAATCATTTCAATTTTAGATTCAAATTAGTGTTTTGTAACAAAGAAAGTCACAAGTAATATATTGATATCTATATGGATATCACTTTAGTGATAGCAAGGCCGATTACTAGTAATCCTTGCATTATTATTAAATCGATTAATAATCTATTTTTATTGTCATTTTTATTGTAAAAAAAAAGATTATTTTCTCGACTCTGTTCATTAAAGTTTATATTTAATGGATCCATCTCGGGACCCTTAGCAAGATCAAGATCGGAATTTTTTATGGAAACAAAAAGTAACGAGACACAAGAAATAAAGAAAAAGTAAAGTCGAAATATACCCAGAAATTTGAATTTTTTCTTACCCTTCTCTGTCATTTATGCAAAACAAAAAGGGTTAAGTAGACAGCGAATTACTGGGCCGAGCTGGATTTGAACCAGCGTAGACATATTTCCAACGAATTTACAGTCCGTCCTCATTAACCGCTCGGGCATCAACCCAGGAATAATCTATTCTAACTTTATGGATAATCCATGATCAACTTCCTTTCGTAGTACACTACCCCCAGGGGAAGTCGAATCCCCGCTGCCTCCTTGAAAGAGAGATGCCCTGAACCACTAGACGATGGGGGCATACTTGCTCAACCGCCATCATACTATGATCATAGTATGATAAGTTTTTTTTTAAAAAATTATCAATATAATCAAATGGTATGACTAGCTTATAAGATTTTTTCTTTTTTGTTTTCTATAGCTTTCTATATCCTTTTTTTATTTTACACTTATATTCTAATCACAATTCTATAAAAAAATTGATATATTTTCTTTTTATATTTGAAGTGGAAATATGAAATAAAAAAATCAAAAAAAATAGTCTAGTATCAAATCTTTTAAAGAAGTGATTGGTCTGACAGAAAAAAAAAGAGGGTTATTAAGTTTCGGTTTTTTTACTTTCCTTCATAGATTGCCTCATCTCTCATTGTTAGGAAATAGTAGTGTCCCTATGTAACACTAACCCAAGAAAGTCAGACAGAATCCATCTTTCTTCCCTAATTAGAAGATGGGTTGATAAGTTAAGTTATCGATTCTCGCTTATAGTTTCGAAATGAGCTATTAATCACTATGTGTCTATTGTATATATATATAGAGAGATTTGATTTACCTATCGACTCAGTCAGGAATTAAATAAAGATGGCCCTTTTAACTCAGTCGTAGAGTAACGCCATCGGTTCAAATCCAATAAGGGGCTTTTACTTTCTTTAACTTTCTATTTCTATATAGTAAAAATTTCATTCGAAAGTGTATAATTTCGAATTTTTCGAATTTCATTCTAATGAATTTCATTTTATTAATAGCTAATAATAAAGTGAGGGAGTAATTTAGAAAATAAAATTGAAATTTTTTATATTATAATACAATGAATAATAATAAGTCGTCTCTTGAATCGCCAAATAGATATTTTTTGTTTCCCTTTTTTGATAGATTAGAAATCAAAAAATCCAAAAGAAAAAGTAAGTGGACCTAACCCGTTGAATCATGACTATATCCACTATTCTGATATTCAAATTCAATAGAGATAAAATTGAAACAGTAGATTTTTTTTTATTCGGAAATCTGTCGATATCTCTTATTTAATCGTCTTGTTTCTATATTTCATAGGAAATATATTGCATTCCTGCCTAGAGAAAGAAAGTCATTCCAAATTAATTAATACCTAAAGAGCATTTCAATATCTTGTTTTGATTCCAGAACATAACAAGATCCTAAATTCTAGTTGTATAAGAATCAAATTGTATTAAGAATCAAAAATTTGACTCATAAATTATGGCTTCAGATATCAATCAAATATTTCCATATTGATGCTTACAAGATGACAATATAATGTGATTGAAGGTGTATGTGAGAAAGAAACTCTCATTTACAGTTTGCTATTATTTTATTTAAATATTGTATTGAATTAGATATAAATAAGAAATTTCCCCCTTTTTTTTTTTACCGGCATGGACATGTAGATATCAATTAAAATAGAAAAAAATATTTCTTTATCTGAGTAATGAGTCATCTGACAATTCATAATTTAGATTCAACTATTTATTAATAAACTAATAGCAAGAAAGAAACAATTTGAGTTGATGCGTTTACCTAAGTAAGGACCAATAAAATTAAATATTTTGATCTTCGAAACCAATTAAATGAAATTCTAAAGGTTCAATTTTCTGGGGCAGTGCGCGAGAAATAAAATCATAAATAAATGATAGAATTTTGAGCTCCCTGAAAATGCCATAATATATAACATTAAGATATATAAAGGTGTTCGGAAATGGTTGAAGTAGATGAATAGGAGGATCGCTTTGACTATAGCCCTTGGTAAATTTACCAAAGACGAAAAAGATTTATTTGATATTTTGCATGACTAGTTACGGAGGGACCGCTTCGTTTTTGTAGGTTGGTCTGGTCTATTGCTCTTTCCTTGTGCCTATTTCGCTTTGGGGGGTTGGTTCACAGGTACAACCTTTGTAACTTCATGGTATACTCATGGATTGGCTAGTTCCTATTTAGAAGGTTGCAATTTTTTAACCGCTGCCGTTTCTACTCCTGCTAATAGTTTNTTGTGCCTATTTCGCTTTGGGGGGTTGGTTCACAGGTACAACCTTTGTAACTTCATGGTATACTCATGGATTGGCTAGTTCCTATTTAGAAGGTTGCAATTTTTTAACCGCTGCCGTTTCTACTCCTGCTAATAGTTTAGCGCATTCTTTGTTGTTACTGTGGGGTCCTGAAGCACAAGGAGATTTTACTCATTGGTGTTAATTAGGCGGTCTGTGGGCTTTTGTTGCTCTCCACGGTGCTTTCGCATTAATAGGTTTTATGTTACGTCAATTTGAACTTGCTCGATCTGTTCAATTGCGACCTTATAATGCAATCGCATTCTCTGGTCCAATTGCTGTTTTTGTTTCTGTCTTTCTAATTTTATCCACTAGGTCAATCTGGTTGGTTCTTTGCGCCTAGTTTTGGTGTAGCGGCTATATTTCGATTCATCCTCTTTTTCCAGGGGTTTCATAATTTGACATTGAACCCATTTCATATGATTGGAGTCGCTGGTGTACTGGGCGCGGCTCTGTTATGCTCTATTCATGGTGCTACTGTAGAAAATAATTTATTTGAAGATGGTGATGGTGCAAATACGTTTCGTGCTTTTAACCCAACTCAAGCCGAAGAAACTTATTAAATGGTCACCGCTAACCGCTTTTGGTCACAAATCTTTGGGGTTGCTTTTTCCAATAAACGTTGGTTACATTTCTTTATGTTATTTGTACCAGTAACTGGTTTATGGATGAGTGCTCTTGGAGTAGTCGGTCTAGCTTTGAACCTACGTGCTTATTACTTTGTTTCCCAGAAAATTCGTGCAGCGGAAGATCCAAAATTTGAGACTTTCTATACTAAAAATATTCTTTTAAACGAAGGTATTCGCGCTTGGATAGCGGCTCAAGATCAGCCTCATGAAAACCTTATATTCCCTGAGGAGGTTCTACCACGTGGAAACGCTCTTTAATGGAACTTTAGCTTTAGCTGGTCGTGACCAAGAAACCACTGGTTTCGCTTGGTGGGCCGGGAATGCCC